GTAAATTCAGTGACCAAATCGTATAAATTTCGTGATAAAATCAGTGATCAAATCATGTAAATTCCATATGAATTCCGTGCAAATTCCGTATCCAAACCATATTTTTAGTGATACGGAATTGTGCATTTTTCCGTATGCTATTATGATACGTTATTTCTAAGGAAAAAAATCGTATAAAAACTTTATAAAAAACGTATCCCAATTTTTTTATAGGGCAGGAGCCATGCAAGGAAGATTTCCATGTATATGTGTTGATGGTTTATTTACAGGACCACAAAATCCCAGATCACTAATATACCAAACATCATTAAACTGTGAATACAATATATTCTTGTATTATAAAAAGAAAATATGGATAAATCTTTTTTAACCACTGAAATTTCTGGGGAAATTTTAAAATTTCATTATTTTTGACGATTTATTTTTTTTTTTAATATATATATATTATTAATATTAAGCTATTAAATTATATATATATATACAGTATATATTAATTAATATCTTAAATATCTGATGGAATACTTTATAATACGGTGAAAGAAATTTAGGAAAATTGAAATCAAATAAATCAAATTTTTTTGATGTTTAAATGGTATACAACATATATTTAAGGTTAATACAATGCTATTTTTAGTTATAACACTGTCATATTATGTTTTGTTACTACTGTGGAATGCTTATTAATGGCCTCTATTACTATTAAACCTACTTATGAAGCTATTAAAATTTTTTTGTAAAAGAGATCTTTCAAAGTTTTATGAATATAATAAAGTCATTATACATTAAAAAGTTTAGCATTCATTAAATAGTTATTTTACACAAAGTACTGAATTCATGAAATCTCTTTATCGTGTGATAAATAATTTTAGTTCAACTTAAAAACTTATTATAAACATGCCAAGCTCCTTTATGAAAATGGTATTTGATTGAAGTTAATAATATATAAATAAGCGAGTAAATGAAAGTTATTGTAAAAAAATGACTTTACCTTCACTTTTTATTTTTCAAGATGACTGAGGAAAAATCATCAATTTTAAAAAAAAATGACATTACGTATAAAGCTTGCTGGTAAAGAACAATTGTAATAACATGGTAGGTAAAAATCCAGAAAGATAACATATCGTCTATAGTAGGTAAATGTGATGAAAGTTGTTGTCCTATGATTTTTGCTAGAATTCGGGGTGATACAATTTTTCAAGCAAGTTGCGTAACTGGGTAATGGGGATTGATGATTTATGGAAAATACATATGTAGGGTACTTGCTAATTATGTATTTCATGTTAGGAGACTTTGACGAGAGTGCATACTCTTTGTTGAAGGTAGTCCATCTGTCCATAGCAAATCTTCATTGTTCATTATGACTGTCATACGCGTAAGTGTATTGTGCTCAAGCCTTAAAGGGAAATTTAGGGTATTTTTGGTTATACGACAGTCCAACTGCACTGATATTTGCGCCCATCCACCTGATCGACAACTATAGACTTGTAAGGTTAATAGATCCTTTAATAGAAAAGGAATGATTTACATGTGATTTTTGATTTCTTTGTTGTCTTTTTATGGAAAATTACACAACTATGAAAATTGATATTTATTTTTTGAAACGAAAGCAACCTTCTTTACCTTTACGAACATGGCATGCTCAAAAATATTTTCAGGGATTTACCTGAATTAACAAATGAAATTATACAATATTTACGGAATGATATTTCAACATTATATTCATGTATTTTCGTTAATAGATTATGGTGTCGTTTGGCCATTCCATTATTATGGGAAGATCCATTTTCAATTCCTACCCAACATTATCATTGTATTGAAATTTATTGAATTAAATTAAATGAAAATATCAAAACAAAATTATATGAATATGGAGTTAATAATAATTTAGCATCTTCAAATACATTATTTAATTATCCTAGTTTTATTAAAAACTTAAATATAGATAATATCTTAAGATTTATTCAAACGTGGGTTGATACTGTAGTGGGTAAAATCCAAGAGAAGCTAGTAAACTTAATTTATAGGTCATAACTTGAAATTTTTATTGAAAATGAAGGAAATTTACATTTAGAAATTTAACATTTTGTATTTTTAATTATATTTCTTCATATCAAAATATAATTAAATCATTAAAAAATTCGAATTGTTCAAATACTTTAAATACAATTATATTTATTACAGTTATTTTTAGTATTTTACAAGAGGTTTTTGATCAATTTAATGTCTTAGAATCTATTCATTTTATTTATTGTCGTTCTTTAAATTCTGATTTTGTTCAACAAATTATTGAGGTTAATAAACCTTTTAAGTTGAGATCATTACATATTTATGAAAGAAATATTACATGTTGGATCGTATTAGAGAAAGTTGATGATTGTTTAGAAAATTTTGGATTTGGATTTATTAAAGACGAATATAATGAACCAAAACGAATTTTGATTCTGGTATACCTGATGATAATAATATTTATCTATTCATTAAAAGTAATGAACAAAATATTAATTATCTTAATATTGAATTGGGTGTTAAATTATAATGAATATAGTTCAACTGTATTACAAAATTTAGGACAAGTTCTTCCTTCTAAATTAGAATATTTGTGTTTGACTCTTTCATTTAATACAAGTGGTCTGGAAATATTTTTAAAAAATTCACAAAATACTTTTATTAAGAAATTATTAATTGGACATAAAACGCAAGATAATGATGGAAATACTATTTTATTTATATAAAGGAATATATTATGAAGAAGGAAAAGGTTAAATATTTGGCTGTTATTTTAGATGATGATTTGACTAATGAATTATTTTCTTTAAAAGACGAAGTAAATGAATTTAAATTTCATAATGTTATAGTTAAAAAATTCTTTGATTTATATATTAATGAATATAGTTTTATAAACTTTTTTAGATAAATTAAAAATAAAGCTTTAAATGATTTTAATAATGAAAGTTGTTACTTTTAATTTATTAATGTGAATTCGTGTTATGTTTGGTTATGAGAAAACAAGCCTTTGCATTACTATCAAAATATATAGTGTTTTATAACTACCAGAATTATTAAATAATTTGTGGAAAGTGTATCGTGAAAGAATTAATAGTTTTGAAAGTAATTGGAAAGTTTAAGCATAATGTCACATATAATATATTAATGAAGCTTAAAGATTTTACTTTAAAGATATTTTTTAACTCTTTAATAAAGTTACTGATTTTTTATAGAAAAATTCACGCAAAATTTTTTTCTATTTAATATGAAATTTTGTAATACGTAATCAACCAATCATAATGATTTTTAACCTATGCTTTTTTATGCTAATAATCATAGTTTTTCATTAATATTTATTGTTCTTTTTAAAAAATTTTTTATACATAAACTAATACATCTGAGTAGGTAGATTATTTTTGGCATAAAAGATTTAACATTTGAAATACATGAATGATAATTATGTAATAAATTCCTTTTTCTAAGACGCAGTGTTAAATTAAAATGTTGCGCAGTACCAGACAATCAGATAAAATTCTCATTATAACAGTAAAATTATAAATTAAATACTTACTACGAAAGGCTAAAATAAAAATTTATATAATAATGACACTTACTATAAAAGTTTTAAATAAAAATCACATAACAATAACTAGAATTTATTCATTGTTTCCGATTCGAATTCATTTTAGGATTCATTAAAAAAAAATAATAATAATACTCATGGCAATGGAAATATTTAAAACATTTACGTGCTAAAAAAAGCTTTAAAAAGACAATTTTATCACTTATTTTTAATTACTAAAAGAATTAATAAAGTATGTTATAATTTCATCTTACGTTGATGAGCTTTTTTTCAATTGCAACTAATTAATTTATTCCTTTTTTTATTCTTTACATATAAATTATTAGGTATTGTATGATCTAAGTCGTGTCCCACTATCATCTTTTAGTGCTGGTCCTATCGACAATGATCTTTTTCATTGACAAGCGTCAATTATAAGTCCGTAAGTAATATTTTATCATGTGTAAAGATTATAATAACTTCGCTTGAATATTATGGTATAATTTGGATTAGAGGGATACTTAATACTCTGGAGGTATATTTTATCTTGATATTCGTCTTCCAAGTGAATATCCATTCAAACTACCAAAGGTATACTTTTGTTTGTACTGTTATTTAATAGCATGATTCAGTTGATTCACGTACTAAATTTATTATATATACAGGTGACTATCATCCGAATATTATTGATAGTGAAAGTATAGACGTGGATTTCTTAAGGGATCAATATTCACCAGCAATTACCATCTCTAGGGGTAATAATAATTTATTATGTGGTATTTTTTATTATATAAAAAAAAATATTAATCAAATCTTTTATTCTATCAAGTACTCTCGGGAATTATCAATTGTTGAGATATCCAAACCCAGGTATTTTAATTCATTTTTTCATATTCATTATTTTATGATTAATTTCAATTAAAAATTATTTATCAATAAATTAGAATGCTCAATCGTACAAGACTGATCGTAATCATTATGAAGCTGCTGTTAGGGAATGGACTCGTAAATATTTTAGTGAGACATTATAAGATTTTTTCTTTATTGGCATTTTTATTTAAGTTTTATTATCTAAACCCATACATGTCCCACTAATGTCTTATTTTAAATATCTTATTTTAAATGTAATTATTGATCAAATAAATCTAAAATATCTTAGTATAGAAAGAAAATTTATTGAATATTTAAACAAGTGGAAAAATAATTATTAAGTTATATAGTTATGTTATTTAAAGGTAGATTGAAAATGAGTCGCAACCTAAAAAACTATCAGCCCAACCAAAACATTTATTACGCACAATAATTAATAGTTATTCGGCACGAAGTGCCGAACAACTATTAATTATCCGGTATCACGTGATTTTTATAAATACATTGAGTGGAATATTGGTAGTTGTAAATATATCACAGTTTACATTTAACAATCAAATAATAATCATCAAAAAAATTTAAAATCTTTATTTATATAGAATATTCATAAATATAAAATCCAATAAATCCAATAAATCTACTGTATACATACTATAATATACTACGTGAATAAAAAAAACTAAAGATAATAATTTATAAAGCATAATGAAAGAAAAATAAAGTAAACTTAACTTCTAGTAATTTAAACTATTTGACTCTAACTTTCACATAAAAAAAAACTTCATTCGATATTATTGTTCACTATCTTGACTAATTTCATTTAGTTCTATAAAAAAAAAAAATAGATTAGATAAAGGAAATATTAGTAAAATTACAAATTAAATAATAACTTACCCAATTCACTTAATTGAACATCTAAGCATTCTGAAACTGTATATTATGTATTCATAGTATTTAAATGTTAACAAATGTAAATGAAATAATTATAATAATAATAATTAAGAGAATACTTACTTGGATTTGCTAATGTTGATTGAGCAGTATAATTAGCATCTATTAAAAATTAAATAACATAAATAATGTAAAATGGATTATATGATAAAAACAAAATTAAATTTAATTACCTGAGCTGAATTGAAAAGATGATGAAGAATTTACTGGTTTTGGAAGATTTTTAAAATTTAAAAGTCTACTAGTATAAATTGCTTGTGGATGCGTTTTGAAGCTTTTGGATTTATCTTCATTTGACCTGTTTTTGAATTTTTCTTTTCTAATTTTATCACATTCCTTTGTTTGAAGATAAATTTCACTATTTTGACTATCTTCACTACCTTCAATATCTTCAATTTCATCATTCCATTTCTTTAATAGTTGGTACAATTCTTTAGTGGTTGGCCTATTTTTTATTTCAGCATTCCAACATTTTATCATTAAATCTGCAAGTAACTTTGGTACATCTTTAGAAATTGTTGGTCTAAGCCCTTTACATATTTTAATAGCCAAAAATTCATCATGAGGAATACCATTAAAAGGAATTTCTTCAGAAAGAAGTTCATTCATTATTATTCCAAATGAGTAAATATCTGCTGCTTTTGTATATTGTTGTCCACATAAAACTTCTGGTGCCATGTATGGTAATACTCCATGAATTCCTTCTTCTTTAATTGATTGCTTTAAATTTGCTGGTTGACACATACCTAAATCACTTATAAATGGATAACCACTGACATTATATAATATATTACCTGAATGAAAATCTTTGTAAACTTTTTCAGCATTATGAATATCTAAAAGTCCTCTTGCAATTTGTAGTAAATGATAAATTTTTGAATTATAATTTATATAATTTTTAGATTTATTTAAATAATTTCTCAAATTTCCATCATCACAATAATATAAAACCATCATATACTCTTTATTATTTGGATTTTGAGTAATTCCATAACATGGAACAATATCATCAATATAAATCTGAAGATGAGATTTAATCTAATTATCATCAAAAAGGAAAAATTTTATTAATAAATAAATGCAAATAACAAACTTTATATATAAGACAAAGTAAGTTTAAATTACCTCATTTAAAAAATCTGAACATATATCAGAAGAATTATTCAAACTTTTCAATGCATATTTATCAATATTGTCTCTAAGCCAACTTTGATTTTCAATATCCCAATAGTAAATATTTCCTTCAGGCCATTTTGCTGAATAAATCTTACCAAAACCACCTTCTGCAATATAAGTGATATTTTGAAATTTTTCAAAAGGTATCCATTCAAGAAATGTATCATAACTTACAGCATTAAGTTGTGATTGTTGTATAAATTCATCAATATTTTTATTTCCACTAGTCCAATTTTTAAAGTTATCCTTAAATCTTTTAGCATTACAAGATTGACACCAATCTACTCCTGTGCCAGGTTCTTTACATTTTCCACATATTCCAAATGCTTGTCTTCTTTCTTCTAAATCTTCGATATAAACTATTCTTTCATCTACATTTTCTGATTCAATAGTTGAATCAATAGTAGAAATTGTAACATATCTCTTTTAATAGACAAAAAAATTTTTAATATCTTTAACTACAAAAATTCAATAAATAATTATAATTATTAAAAAATATTAAATTACTATTACCTGATATTTATCATCATACTTCCATAAATTTTTTGGTTTTTCATCCATATTAATTAATTTGAGTTGTGGATTATAATTTTAATTTTAGTTATATAAATAAATAATTATGTTACTCGAAATAAATTTCATAATTATTATAAGTAAAAGAAAAAAAATTAAGAGTTGAATAAATTGCGCACATTTATTTGTATTACCATTTGTATTACTATTTATACAACTATTTTATACAAACATTACTATTTTTGTGATTTTGTGACAAAGAAAATTCGTAAGCAGTTGCTGATCATCATAAAAAAGAAAGAAAATAAAATGGTTAAAATGATGGTTACATAAGGAGATTCAGGTCCAAATTTAGACAATGCTTTGTATGTTTAAGTTTAAAGTAAAAATAATTTTACTTCGCATTTTTTCAGTATTATTTTTTTCGGTAATGTATATGTAAATCATTATCAAAATAATAAAAACTTTATACTAAAACCATTGCCAAATTATATATCAAAAATTTTAAAAAATTTATTTTAATCAAAGCTAGATGATGACGTTTGCTCATTTTTTACATAAGCTTTTTTTTGTCTTTACGCTAGGAAAATAATTTTTGGATTAATAATAATATTATATGATTATAGTTAAATGAACCTTATCTAGTAAATATGGTAAATAAAATAAATAAAAGAAATGTAAGGTATTTCATAATATCCGTATAGTGAAGTTATTATTACGAAGGTGACCAATATTAAAGGATCGAAAAATTATGCTCAAATAGTAAATGGCTCTTATATTAACAAATTCATTCCTATAATAAAATATTAACAAATGTTTTTAAAAAAGACAATAAAATTTTGTCCGCTACTTCTGTAAAAATCTTGTAAATATGAACCTTTTATATGATTGCGTTTAATTTAATAAAAAGAATAATTTAACGAAAATACATTCTTTTATTTATAAAACCTTAAAGAATATTAATTTATCTGCAGTTATGTTAAAAATTTATTCGTTTATTTTGAGTTGATCTGAACCTAAATAAAGTAGTACTGTAGTTTAGTCTAAAGTAGAGTTACGATTCGAAAGAGTACATTTGGTAATTATACACGGATTTTAATTAATAACAAGATGTATAAGAATGTCAAAAGCATCTATCAATAATTGCTTATTGATTACAGAATTTTGAAATCCGTAAGATGATAATCATATGATCAGAATAATATGACTATTTAAGACTGATTAAAATAATCAAATAATTATATTTCTAAATTAAAGTTCTTGCTTTTTGTTACCCTTAATATTATCTTCAATATTATCGAATCTTCCTTCGAATATTCCTTTGATATTATTGAATCTTCCTTGAACGACATCGAATTTGTCGTTAGATATAGCAATTGACAAATCAACTTTTTTTTTTAGTCCTTCCTTCATAGTTCGAATTTCCTAAAAAATGAATTATGTTACTGTCATATGAAGATTGCGTGATATGACGATCATTCACATTTCATACATACATTTGTTGACATAACTACATAAAACAACATTATTGCAGCGAGAACTACTCCAACAATAATTTTATAATAGCCAAGATACTTCTTAATCTGATTCATAATGACTGAGATACAAATTTGTTAATATGTCGACTAGCAAATGGTGCGTAAATAGACCAAGATGTTATTTAAGGGTTAGGGTATTGCGTAAAATAAAACCTTTCTTGCCATGAAAATACCTCCATCACTATCTTTATCGCCCTCTTGTCGTTTAGCTTCTTCTTGTTTATCAGGCATTTTGTAAAAGTTGTATGATTTGTGACGGCGAATGATTATATGATTTAATGAAAATCCAGGAGTTCAGTCAGTATGTCGTATATATTTATCATTCTTGTTGTTACACAATCTATATTATTTTTTTCGCATACTGATAAATTAATTTTTTGATGTATTACATCATAACAGCCACCAATTATCTTTTTTTTCTATTAATAACATATTGATACTATAATGAAAATATATTCAACGTTTATCATGTGATAAACTCCCAATGACATCCTCCAGAATTATTTCGAATACCTCGGCATACTTGTCCAATATTTACTTTGTCAATCCCTGTTACACGTTGTGCTTCTGCTATGGACGAAAATTCTTGAATAGAGCCGTCATCAAAAATCTGCTTGACAGCACGTTTGGTAGGTTTATTGTTACAAAGCCCAAAATGTACGGCCTTCATTCGAACAAAATACTAATGCCACCAAACGATGAACCTAATATTTATGAATCATCCGGCCAATTCGGTAATAGCCTGTATATAATGATCCTTTGGTAATTTAAGCCGTTGGTTAAATGAACCCTTCCCAAGGATGAGACTCTGAATTTTTGTGAATTAATCTATCACCTAAAATTCCAGACTCATAGAAAACAAGTCCTCCATTTTCTTTATTTTATTTATTTGTACCTTGTAATGCAAAGTTATTATTTTAAGTAATAGCTATTTATTTTTATATATGTACTCCGTGAAGTTCCCATCAAAACACTTGCAATAAATACCTTTTTTGGTCATGATCTACTTATACGTTTAAATTGGGTGAAATTTTAAATAATCATTAACCATTAATCATTATTGAGTAGAGTAGCGCCCCTCCCTCCTTGTGAAATTGGGTATTATTTATAAAAAATTAAATGCAAAATGAAAAATTTTTTTAACGAATGAATTTATGACGCGTAAAAAAAAAAAAAATTAAATCTGAAAAAAGGTAATCAATAAACTCCAGTGACGACTAATTTAACAAATTCGCAGCCACAATAGGACCCCGGATATCTAATATNATTAAATCCGAAAAAAGGTAATCAATAAGCCCCCAGCGACTAATTTAAAAAAATCACAGCAACAGTAAAATTGTTTTATTATTTAGGAAATATTGAGGCTTAATGAACTGCAGTTATTATTATTATCAAAATATATGTTTAAGGAATAATAATAAATAAATAATTGTGAAAAAAAAAAATAAAAAAAAAATTTTAAATGAATTTGTTAATTGTGAAAAAAAAAATTTTTTTTTTTTACGTGAATTTATTTTAATCAATAAGCCCCCAGTGACTAATTTTAGTAACGACATTATAATTTTTCATTACCTTCTTAGGAAAATCATTTTCATTTTATTATTATTAATAAATCATCAATTTTGTTAAGACTGCGGTGGAAACGTAGTTTACTACGGGCGTAGGTCTTACAATGGTCAACGATCAATACACCAAAAGCTGCGGTTTGTGACCGTATCTTCAGTTTTGGCTATAGAAAACGTCGCACATCAACTTACTGTATATCAAATTTTCTTACAAAATATACGTCATTTACCTTGGTTTATACATCATTCCCTGCGCTTTCTTTTTTCATAATATGTCAATAATTTCTCTATAAAAAGTATAAAAAAAATTATAAAAATTCGTTAAAATTATTTGAAATTATTAAATTATGGATTGCGCATAATCCAAATTCTTGATAATAACAATAATAAAGTTTAATTTAATTAAGCTTTCTAAAGAAAAATTCGTGTGAACTTTTCTTTTCTTTAATATATTAAACAATTATCAAAAAAAAAAAAAAAGTCGCGTGAATTTTTCTTCCCCTAAACTGGTAATTTTATTATTTATTACTAATAATTAAAAAATTTTTATTTTTATTTTTAACATGTAAGACGAAGTTGAGGGGTAATAATATAAGTGACGCAGTAATATACAAAAACAGTCAATTAATAATTATTAAGCTACATTAATACAGTATATTACATGTGACTTTATGCTTAAATACTTTCAAAACTATTAATTCTTTTATTATTATTAATGATTAATTATAACGCTACACTTCGCAAATTAAATTATAGTAATGTAAGGATTTGCTTTCCCCAAACCAAGCATAACATGGATTTGTCAATTAGAATTGATTAGATTTTTCATATTCACTGGAAAAAGTTTTGGCCAAAGAGGAGTTAAAGCAAGAGGTTAAAGAAGCAAAAAAAATAAAGAGGAGGTAGAAAAAAATCGCAAAGAATTAGAGAAAAATAGTATGGAATCATGACATTAATAAATTAAAATACAACTTTTTATTTTTAAAATAAATGTGCAGGTCTTTATTTATTAAAATCATTATCATTTACAAAACTATATGCATCAATATATAAATCAAAGAATTTTTGAACTATAATATTATGTAATTTAAATTCATTTACTTCGTCTTTTAAAGAAAATAATTCATTAGTCAAATCATCATCTAAAATAACAGCCAAATATTTAACCCTTTCCTTCTTCATAATATATTCCTTTATATAAAATAAAATAGTATTTTCATCATTATCTTGCGTTATATGTCCAATTATTAATTTCTTAGTAAAATTATTTTGTGAATTTTTTAAAAATATTTCCAAATCACTTGTATTAAATGAAAGAGATAAACTTAAATATTCTAATTTTGGAGGAAGAACTTGTCCTAAATTTTGTAATACAGTTGAACTTAAATCATTACAATCATCATGAAAATCCATTTCAATAGTAAGATAATTAATAGTATGTTGATTATTTTTAATGATTGAGTAAATATTATTATCATCAGGCATACCCGAATCAAAATATCTAATCTTTGTACAATATTTCATAATTAATTTAAATAATTGTCGTCTTTGTTCAATATATTCGTCATATTCGTTACTTGTAAGTCCAAATCCAAAATTTTCTAAAAAATCACCAAATTTCTCTAATAGTAATTGTAATGATTCAATATGTAATATTTCATCCATAAATAAAGATCTCAATTTAAAAGGTTTATTAACCTTAATAATTTGTTGAACAAAATCAGAATTTAAAGAACGACAGTAAATAAGATGAATAGATTCTAAAACATTCAATTGATCAAAAACCTCTTGTAAAATACTAACTATATTGTTAAAATCAGTGTGATAAAATATAATTGTATTTAAAGTATTTGAACAATTAGGATTTTTTAATGATAAAAATGGATTATATAAAATAGAATTAGTTTCAAATGAAATTTTTTTGAGATTATGTTGTGAGATAATTATTTGTGACAAATATTTTTCAATTAATGAACGATTATTGATATCATAAATAAAAATTTTAAAAACAATTGATGAGATTGATCTGCAATTAGAATATAAAAATTTTAAAAATACAATAGTATTTTCAAATGAAAAATTATCTAATCTTAAATTTCTAATGTTGCATGTAAAATTTGGATTTTTTAAAATTAAGTTCATATTATCATTAAAATATTTATGATCAATATCCGTAGGTAGCACAACTTCAAAAGAATGTAAATTTCCTTCATTTTCAATGAAAATTTCAAATAAATACCTATAAACTAAGCTTTCTAGCTTCTCATGATTGTATTTATTCACCCATTTTCTAGCAGAACAATAAATTTTATATGTATCTAAGTATTTAATAAAACTAGGATAATTGAATAATGTATTTGAAAATAATAAATTATTATTAATTCCATATTCATTAAATTTTGCTTTTCCATCTTCATTTAAAAAGCATAAATAAGTTTCAATACAACGATAATGTTTGGTAGGAATTGAAAATGGATCTTCCCATAATAATGAAATGGCTAAACGACACCATAATCTATTAACTAAAATACATGAATATAATGTTGATAAATCTTTTCTAAAATATTGTATAATTTCATTTGTTAATTCAGGTAAATCCCCTGAAAATATTTTTGAGCATGTCATGTTCGTAAAGGAAAGAGAGGTTGCTTTTTGTTTCAAAAATAAAATATAATTTATACAATTTTCCATAAAAAGACAACAAAAGAAACAAAAATTATATGTAAATCATTCCTTTTTTATTAATTCCGCGTATAATTTTGTCAATTGGTGTAATTCCGTTACAGTGTTAGGAAATGACACAAATGATCTATGATCTACAGTAAAGCATTTGGAGAGATAATATTATTATATCATGTGATCTATAATGCTAGCCAGAATTATCAAACTGCGGCATTTTGGTGTTATACTTCTGATAGTACTGTACAGTATCTATTTTAGCTTTAGTATGGAATTTTACATGATTATTAAATATTATATAAATTCCTATATTACTATACAGTATTACTACATATAAGTATGTAATATTATTTCAGTTATTTTGTAACAATGTAGCATTATTTGTTCAATAGCAATTTTAATCTAAATTTATTATTGTAACAACGTAAACTGGTAACTGGTGCTTCTAAAGGATTATCAAATAAAATCAAGTAATTTCCAACATGCTAGTATCTGCTTTCAAAATCATATGGTCTTTCATCAGATTTACCTATATAATTTTCACTATCTAATTGATTTATACCATATCGATCCAATCTTCAATTATTTTGTTAGTAATATTTTCAGAGATACCATCGATGGTAATCATTAATGACATTGTCACTTAAACATGACATGTGTCATTTTATCATTTGTCATTTTCAAATGATATTTTTTTAAATCATGATATAATTTTTATGTCATCTAGAATTTAGTGTTTCGATCCGGATAGAAACCGAAATCCGGATAAGATTAAATATAAGAAAATTTTTTCATCAATTGATCTTAACAAGATAAGTTAGTATATTTTTAATTAAATTAGTGATACTTTATTAATTTTAAATAAAATAAAATTCTAATTTTGGCCTGCAACCATGAATTTTGCCTGAATTATGCCGAAAATTTGAGAAACGTAAAATTTTGACAATAAGTACATTATAAATAATGAAAGGTTAGTCATAAAACTAATCAGGTTTGTTATGTTTATATACTATTTTGCTAATCAAATTCAACTTATCTATTAAAAAAAAAATTTTTTATATCATGGACCGACAGCAATTTGGGCCAAATGTATAATGGCAGAAAAATTACAAAAATCCTAAATTTCGTTTAACTGGGATACTGCTGCCTCTTAAGTCTTGTAAAATATCAATTTCGCAAAATTCGGGCTGGCATTACAGACGGCCCGAATTACTGCCAACCAACAAATATTATTTTAGCGAGGTAGGTTTAAATATGATAATTAATAGATAATAATTTAAATAAATAAGTAAATTTAAATGATTTAAAAAAATTTATTATAATTTTTTTTTATCCGAATAATGGGCCAAACTGGATATTTTCTATCCCGGATAATTATTTTTTTTTTCAGATATCTGGATACCATGGTTTTATCCGTACACGATCGAAACACTAATCTAGATATCATTTAAATTCATTGAAATTAGTCAAATGGCAATGTCATTTAACATCACTACGTCAAGGTGAGTTAACATTTCTTGCAGAGACGCACACTCTTGATCAGCATGTTCTTTGTTTATTGAGAAATTTCTTTTTGACACTGTCAATGCATTTAGTTTGTTAATAATATATATATTTCATATTCCTGATACATTAGACACAAATAATATTTTGACACCTTTCTTATAAATTGTCTGTATTAGTGTCGGTAGAATGACAGTAAAATGACAATATACTGTCATCCATAGTAATTCTTTTATTTGCCTTTGATATAAATAAGGAATTAATCTTCAATTGAAAATATTTAGATATGTGATATGAATATTATTGCAAAACCATTTGGTTTAATATAAAGAAGTATGAAATTCAAATTTAACATAGTATGTATTTTCATTTAAATTGGTCTTTTAAAAGGTACTATTTCTATAATAATTATTATAATATTTTGTAACTTATATGTTTGCTGGTATCTTGAACACTGAAACTTAATGATCGTAAAGAAAGGAAAAGAATCCAGGCAATATTTACCTATCTAAACAATATTGATTGCACATGAATGATTTGGCTATTGAACCCTTTTAGTTATTGTTTTATTAATAAATGTAGTATTCATTAAACGGTGTAAATATAAATAATCACAAATTTATATTTCAAAAATTATCCCCCAGAGAAAGAAGTTAGATTTTGCACTCATGTAAGTTGGAATCTTTCTATAGGTACGGTAGAGTATGAGTAAGACTAAAACTCATAATCCCTATACGATTTATATTACGACGTGATTGGATTATATACTAGTAGCGTTAGTCATATATACTAATAGATTCAGATTAGAATAGAATGCATTATTATTCGAGTAAAAGACTAACAGCTGATAAATTATGTTAAAACTGTGATTTCTTGGTATGACCAAACATAAAAGGATTTTGTTGCTTTAACAGACGATGATAAAATATAAATTTATTTATATAAAATACCTTACACTAAACAAAAAATAATTAATTAAGATTTACAACACCAAATCACTATTGTAATTTTTAATTACTCCTTCTGATTTATATTTTTCTATCAAAACTTCTATATCTTCCGTTTGACGCACAAATTGTAATATCATAGGATGTCTACCTTTCCAATTTTCAAAAAACAGTTCCAAAGAATCCAAATCAATTTGAGAAAAAGAAAATTTAAATTTAAATAAATTAGTTGGTGATGATCTTGTTAATATTCTAAATAAATTATTCAAATCAATCCCATCATAATCAAAAAGGTATAATTCATCCAAATATTGACATCTAATTAATAATTCTTCTAATTCTGAAATACTACTATTTCTTAATACTAGTTTAAGATACATAAGATTTTGACATTTTTGATAAATAGTTTGAATAATTTTTTTATTATTAGTTACATTATTACTCGTACTCGATTTCATACTTATATCAATAAGACTTCCACTCGTATTTTCAATTAAACTTATTAGAATACTGGTTGGAACAAATCTAGTTTTTAAAACTTGTAAGAAAGGTAAGGTCACATTCTTTAAATAATTATAATCCCTATAATCACCATTTAATTCCAATTCTAATACTCTTAAATTAACAAAAGATGAAAGAAGATTTATGACAGGTGGTTTAGTTATCTTAAAATATTGCATGGTATTCGCATGTTTAATTAAAGAATTTTCTATAATATTATTAAAAGATTCATGTCGTTTATAAAAATCAAATAAACAAACATTAAATAAATTTTTCTGATTTTTAATTAAATTAACAATCCCATAATTATTATTTTTTTCAAAAAGTACTTCCAATTCTTTAATTGATTTGCATATTTCTGTTAATCCATCTAAAATATAATTTTCTACACTAGCGTTACATCTAAGGAATTTAATTTCTGATAGACAACTTTCAGCTCCAGGAATAAGATGTATTTGAAAATTTACTTGATAAGGTAAATAAAGATGTGTAAATTTTGTATTTTCATTAACAAAAAGTTTGATAATTTCATTTTCAATAATTTTAATTTTAGATTCTTCATAAATATTATAAATTATATTTTGAATTCCACTTAAATTTAAATGTTTACAAAAATTAATATAATTAAATAAAGGTCTTTGATATGAATTTATAAATATATTATTTTGATTTAAATTATTTTTTGATTCTTTTGATAAATGTGAAATTATTACGTTTAATAATAATCTCTCTTTCCCTTTCTTTAAGAATTTCCATGGATTTTTCCATAAAATTGGAATAATTATTTCACAAAATTCTTTATTAATCGAAAGACATGAATAAAGAGTCTTTTCATCATCTCGTAATTCTTCGAATATCAAGCAAAAAATATCGTTGTTCAATTTAGACATTTTTTTTTTTTTTTTAATGTTAAAAAAAAGTAAAAATTGATTTTGGTTTAAAAGGGGCGTAAATTTTTATTTAAGTGTTACAGTTTTGTATGTTGTACGGTACATGATTTACGTCGTATTCACGTATCACATTTCAAAAAAAAAAAAATTTAACCTGTTTCTATCCGGTTGATCATGGCGGTGATCCGCGCAATTTCTACTTTTAGTTAGATTATATTAAACTACTATTAAATTAAAATATTTTTGTTCAAAACGTAAAAAATCATTTTTTCAGAAAAATGAATCCCAAAAAATCACAAATAAAAATTGAATTTAATAAGTCAAATATCTCAAGTAGAGACGCCGTCCTGTAAACAACAAAAAATTGTTCATATCGCATGAATGATAGAATATGTATGAACTAGGAGTATTAGAACTTTGTGGGTCTTTAGTTAATTAGTTAATTCACAAACTAAATTTATGATATAATTTAATTTAGAAAATTCATTACCAAACCTTGTTGATTCAATAATTATTACTTTTTATGAATAATGAAGAAAGTAATAAGAATATTTTTATTTAAAAATTCATTTTTTTTAAAAATAATTTTTTAATTCTAACAGATCGCGATTCTCAATTATTTGTTTAACGTTGTTTAACCATTAACTCTTTATTTTCACCTTTTATTATTATTTGTTTGATGGGAAAAGAGTAATTTTATTCTTCTAAAATGTCTCAAATTTCTTAGAAAATAACTTTTTTTCGCATCATTTAGCTAGCAGCCGCATTCCTGAATGTGAGCTCGCAGTCATAGATTATCATGGAATTCCACGATTTCTGCAATAATCCAGGTCCAACCACATAATAAATTTAACAGTTAACGATTATGGATTACGTTTGTAATACGGTTTCAACTAAAAAAAAATCATACAAAAGATATTTATTCAAATAAAAAAAAATATTTATTTCGACTATATCACAGTACTGACTTTAATCCAAACCTAAAAGGTGAAAGAATGAAATAATTAGGAAAAAAAAAATATTATTAAAAATAAAAATCGAACTTACCGTAGCACCGCAGCATCGATCCCGAACATTGATCCAGGCGAAAAAATTAGGAAAAAAAAATTATTAAAATGTGTCAAAAAAAAGATGCTTACCATAACACCGCAATGTCAATCAATTACTGATCTAGATTCAAGTCTAAAAAATAAAAATAAATAATAATGTACTTATATAACAATAAAAAAATATATAAAATTGAATAAAAAAAACTTAAAAAAAGTTCAAAACAAAATCGAAAAGAAAAATGAAAAAAAAGTTTAGGTTTTAGGAAAAAAACCAAACCGAATAAAGGAAAATATTAAAAAAAAAATTTATTTAAAAAAATTTAAAAAAAAAATTTGAAAAAAAAACCGAAAAAAAAAAAGTTTTAAAAAAAACGTCCCGAACGAGCCACAGAAGACTTGAAATAAATTCATATAATAAAAATAAAAAAACCATTTTGTATATGTTTATACAAAAATACATTACTAGTAAAGAAATGCACATTACTGAACTTTTTTCGTTAGAATTAACCAATCGAAATTTCATTATGTATTTGTGGATGGTATAATGCGAGTCAAATGTATATAAACTTAAATTTTTGGCTCAATTTACATAAATATAATAACAGATAAGCCTTAATATTAGATTTATAGCTCCGGCATATAAGTCCTTTAAAATGGGTCACTTGAAATCGAAAAATTCATTTTTTGATGGCACATCAGTTTATCATGTACGATATTTTGATGTTCACTAAGAAACCATAAATGACGTCACAGAACGTCATAAAAGACTATAAGTAAAAAGTGTTTTTAATTCTTTTATACAATTATATTAATCTTTAATACTAATTAAAAAAAAGAGAGAGCTAGTGGTAAAGCATAATACATATTTTTTTAAATGCATATTTTATACACATAGCACAATATTTTTTTCTTCATCATTGTCACCTGATATTGTTTACTACTTTCTAGATATAAATAAAGCGAAAATTTTTGTGTTATATTAATAAAAACGTCTCTTATTGCAAAGTTGTGATTAACATGTCATTCAATATATTATATATCACCATGTAAGGTCGTAAGAAAAGCAATTGTCGTATTTTTGCACAATGCCTACAAGTTCTAATTTGTTTGGGACCCAATTAGAGATACATATACCTGAACCAACCCAAGCTGTTGCTGAGGTTGGTTCAATTGTTTTAAAAGACTTGTAAGGTAAACTACAAACATTTGATGCTATTGATATGCAAATCAGGTGAATAAATTTATTGCTTATATCCATTTTCCAGTGTTAATTCATCATGATTGCGATATATTGTACGAAATAGATGACAATATTTGAAATTAATTGATAGAGCTTATTCTTCTCATCATTATTATCTTTTGCGTTACTTCCAATTAAATCCACTTACAATAGCCAATACAGAGATAGCAACGAATAGGTTAAAGATCAAAGTCTATTTATTACGCGAAAAAAAAAAATAAAAGCTAAAAATTATTTAAGTGAAAATTTTCGTGGTAAAACTAATCATAAACAAAACATACTCCTTTTTTGTGAGCAATCTTCTCTCCTTCCTTTCTTCCTTCATTTCGTTCATTTAAAATCACATTAAGGTAAGCTGTTTGTAAGCGAAAATGGAGTCAGTCCATCATAAATTTTTTGCAATTCTGGAGTAAGTGATTCCCAGGAATTCATTTGTATGATCGCTGAAATGATAGATCGCCATTAGTAGACTTTACTAGATTAAAAAATTTTATATATTTCTAGTACTTACAATCTGTACTTGTACTTTGTGAAGCGGTAAGAAGATTTTATTCAATAAAAAATATTGTATATCCATTTTTGAGAATATTATTGACATTTCAAACGAAATGAAAATTATTTATAAATTAATTTGAATTGTATAACGTGTAACATTCTCCATACGGATTGCTGTCATAGAATAATATGTCATATTATGGAATAATTTAATCAATATTATGTCATACATGGTAATAATTTGATCGATAGATAATTTCCATTGGTTATATCACAATTTATTAGATTTGTGTAACCTATATTGTTCAAGTTCATAAAAAAATTGTCATCATAATGATGTTCTTTTCCAAAAGCTAATCCAAATTAGTACAAATTTTCTATCAAGAAAAATTGATTTTTATCTATATCCGTATTGTTTATCTCAAGGTAAATCATTGATAATAATGCGAAGCAATGATGAATTCTTTCTTCTAAATCAGTTCATTTAAAAATTTAAAATCAACTCGAGTAACTTTTAAAAATATTCTCAAATATTTTATTTAAAAGGTTATTCATCGGTTAATATAAATAGAGATGATGAAAATTTATCATGACTTTTAAATTACATAATTTCGATATTATTTCTCCTAGCACAGACATTATTAAATCGACAACCGATAAATATAAAATATAAGAGATGGTAAGCCTGGATTATCTAAATTATACAAGGAATGATTTACATGTTATTTTTAGATCCCTTGTTGCCTTTTTATGGACTAAAATTGATAAATTTAATCTTTTTTTAAAATGAAAACTACTCTTTTTCCTTCTCAATTCCTACACAAAAATTATCGTATTATCGTTGTATTGAAATTTATTTACACTTTAAAATTGGAGTCATTATTTCCAATAACTTAATGACTATTTTCAAAAATCAAATGCTCGTACAAACCTTCTCACAATATTGGTTAGTGGCTTATTATACTACTTACAAATCACGTCATGAATCACAATATTAACAGAAGAGTATATAAACTCAACCTTTTATAAACTTTTACCAAACTAAAACTTTCACCTGGTGATTTCTTTTTTTATTAAATAAAGACATCTTACCGATGTCTTCACAAAATACAAATACGGATTAAAAATTCTAGAGATATATATAAATTTTTTTAATCTAGTAAATCCTACTAACGGCTTCAGTGGTCATACAAATGAATTCCCGGGAATCACTTACTCCAGAATTGCTTATAATTTATAAATGGTCTAAGCACTAACGCAGATAAAACAACTTACCTTAATATAATTCTAAATTAACGAAATGAAGCAAGAAATGAAGGAAGAAATGAAGAAGAGATGATTGCTCGCAAAAAAGGAGTATGTTATATTTGCTAAATTTAATCATATTTAGTATAATATTTGTGTAATGCATTAGATTTAAACAAATTATATTAACATATATATCAAAATGATTATTTATTAAGAGAAAAAAATAATTATTGCATAATACTTGACAATTATCATTTTGTAATGGTTTATTACATTATCTGACAATATTCATGTTAACATACATGATAACATGTATTTATATATCAACATTATGATTACATGGATGTCATAATGATTGTAAAATTATGTCGAAACAATTGGCCTTAACAGTAAAGTAGGTCTATAATGTGACTTAATATGACATATCATGATTTACATATATGTGCTAATATTTAAGGAACTCTTTTGCTGATTGTGAGTGTATTTTTTTATCATGGATAACAAAAGTGAGAAATTGTCTAATTATTCAGTCAAATCAATATAGACGATGATGACCCAGCACTGGATGTGGATATAAATGTGTTACAGCAGTATGCTTCCTGTCGTTTAAACAGACACTGTATTTGCGCTCGTAGATTAACAAGAGGGCTCTATAATGAAATTTATTTGCTACAATTCGAAAATGGACCAGATTGCATCGCCAGACTCTCACGCGAACTAACTCACCCCGCATCAAAATTTGCTAGCGAAGTTGCGACTATGAAATATGTCACTCAAAACACTAATATCAAAGTACCAGCGGTATATGATTGGAATGGTACTGCGCAGAATCCCATAAAAACCCCTTACATTTTCATGGAACGGCTTCCTGGACAACATTTATATATAAAGTTTGGGATGAGTTAACTATTGAACAAAAGAAGTGTGTTTTAAGCCAAATTGTTGACATATTGTTCGAGTTATAGACGAAATGTCAGTTCAAAGAGATTGGTTGTCTTTACATGGATGAACAAACTTCAAGTGTAAGTGTGATAACATCTTATTTACATTTATAATTGAATTGGAGCCTTACATAAAGCACATAATAATTATTATAATATTCAATGATGTACCGTATAATTAATTCATGTAAAAAGTCAGCGACGTCAACTTTCCAAATAGGACCTGTTGTGAATTATTTATTTCACTCCAAAGGAAGAGACTCCATTCCTAGTTCCACTGGTCCTTTTAAAAGCTTGAAAGAGTTGTATGGCACTTTGATTCAAAAAGAAAAGGAATTCTTCGAAATTCATGGTGCTCAAAAACTACTACATTTAGAAGGAATAAAAATAGATCACGGAATGGAAGTAACTAGAGTGAAAAATCCAATAAAGAAATTAGGCTTACTTCAATCCAAGCTATCCAATATTTTTGATGAATTGGTAGATCAAAAACCCTTTACTCTTATCCACAATGATTTCGATGCACAAAACATGCTTGTTGAACGTTCTTCAACTAATGATATCAAAATTGTAGGCATTATTGATTGGGAGTTTTCACGTACAGGTACTTTATGGGATTTATGCAAATATCCAGTTTGGATCCAAGAAATAGATGAGCTGCCCATCAGTGATGCAAATTTGAAGGAGAATCATGAAAAACAAAATCTAAGAGACTTTTTTTATGATGAGATGGTAGTAAAATTGAGGAACGGAGGTGGACAGATGCTGAAAATGAAAGAACAAGATAAGAGGATTGAAGACTTAGATGTTATGTTTGCTTTTATAGTTAAAAGTTCAATATTTTAGAGGGCTTATTAGTACATTTCTTTTATAATTATGGGTCAGAGGCAAAAGCCAATATTAAACTTGCTGACCTTATTATGCGGTTATTTTGGGGTCCAAGCCTTACTAAAGTTCAAATTCCATCTGAAAGAACTATCAATTCATATTTATTATCAGCAGATAGATTATCAGACACAGAGATGAAGGTTCCTGATCATTACGTAGCATCAGTATATTGTGAACTTAAATCTAGAGATTATAATTTTTCTTGGCAACAAGCTTCTGTTATAGCATTTCACATGCAGAATAATGAATCAAAAAATTCGGCTAGTGATGTGAACAAAGTGAGTTAGTATTTTTTGGTGAATTAATTAGTTTGAAGCATGAGGTGTTGTGTTCCTCCTCTTTTTGTTATATATTTAGCACATTTCTTATCCCTATATAAATATTATTTTGCGTATGACACTGACGATCACATCTGTGAACAAAATATTATAGCTTAAAAGTCACTCTATCAGATTATTCGGTAGATCTATTTAATTAAACAAATTTTATTTTTTACTTCATATAATCTTATTAATTGCTGTTGCATATCTGAAATTTTTATATACTTGGCTATTTCTTTATCTTTTGAATAACCAGTCCTGCCTCTTTGCTCTTTTTCCAAACTCTTCCTTCTTAAAAATTTTGGTTTTTTTTTGTATTACATTACATTTACTTATCCTGCTATATGAATTTGTATGTTCATATAATTTGAACAAATTTATATAAATTTGGCCGGTATTATATTACAAATTCGAATTATAATATCGTTAGCATTATAATAAATTTTAAATTTAACTCACGCTTACAAATTTGGCTATAATGCAATTATTGTAAATCAGTTTTTTAAAGATAAAGTCTGTATATTATCATACAACTTAGCACAATATAGAAATTATACAGGTACAGCAGAATTAGTATAATGATATTTTTACAACAATTTTGTATGAATGGTATAGGGTAATTATAATATTACTTAATTACACTGAATTAATAATAATAATACTAGCCAGTAAATTTTAAAATAAAGATTTGAAAGTTAAACTTAAATTTACTAAAAAATTGTAAATGAAAAATAAACTTTATTTAAATAATTAATATACAGTGCTTGTAGTTAATAATGCTTAATTCTTATTACTTTATTGTAAATACTGTAAAATACATAATATAAATATTTTCTGTATAATAGCTGGTGAATATAATTCAACAAATAAAGAATGAATAACAAATTGATTTTAAATTTTAACTATACATTCCACCAAATCAGAATATTCTTGAACAAAGCTTTCACTAACATTCTTAGACTTTTCTATTTCTTTAGAAACATTGCGACTTGTGTAATATTCTTGCGAATGAGATTGTATAATAGAGATATTTGCTTGTTCTTGTACTAAAGCTTCATTTGCTTTTACAAATTCTAACATATTATTTTTTAATTTTTTTAATTGATTATCAATATCAGGTACTCCATAGATATAATTTACATCCCTGTTTAATTCATAATATTTATTAACACATCTAATCCAATCAGATATAATATTTTCAAGAATTGCTATGGTTGGTCTATTGGAAGGACTTGGATCCCAACATTTTTTCATTAAATCTATATAACATTTTGGAGTATTTTCAATAATTTTAGGACGTTTCCCTTCACAAACACTCAAAATAAGGTGATGATCATGTGCTTTACCTTTAAATGGAGTAATACCTGATGTAAATTCCCACATCATCATTGAAAAACTATAAATATCACTTTCTGGAGTATAGGGTTTATTTCTTAATATTTCAGGTGCCATATAAGGTAAAACTCCATAAATTTTATCATCAGAATCTTGTAAATCACTTATAGGTTTACATAATCCTAAATCAATGATAAATAACTCATGATTATCTGACATTAAAATATTACCATCATGAAATCACCATGAGTTAAATTTGATTCATGAATTACTTTAAGTCCCAATACAATTTTTTTCAATAATTGTAATCTGTCTTGCCATTTAAATTTAATTATATCAGATAAACATTTTCTTAAACTTCCTTTTTTTGCATAACTCATCACTATTGCATAATTCAAATTATTTGGATTTTGGGTAAATCCAAAGAATTGAATAAATTTTGAAAATGATTTTTTCTGACAATTATAATGATACTTCCACTATATGAATAATAACAAAAGTATTAAATTTTTGCAAAAGAAATAAAATTTTTTATTAAATATAAATACCATACCTCATCAAAAAATTTACTATTCAAACTTGATGAATTCTTAAATATTTTAAGAATAACCTCATAATCTGTTTGTCTATTCCATTGTTGTTTATCAGAATCCCAATTAAAAATAGGTCCATCTGACCAGATAGCTTTATGAATTTCACTAAATCCTCCTTCATCATAATAACTAATACTTGACAAATTATTATAAGGTATCCATTCTAATATTTCATAACTATTTTTAGCATTCAGTTGTGCTTCTTGAATAAATTTATCAATAAATTCATTTTTACTAGTCCAATTTAAAAATTCTTGTTGAAATTGTTTAGAATTACATTGTGGGCACCACTGGTAATCAATATATGGTTGTTTGCATTTATTGCATTGATGGTGCCATGGGTACTCAATATGTGGCTTTTTGCATTTATTACATACCTTAACTTCATCTTTAGAACTTAATTTAGTACATTCTGCTACTTTTTGATGCCAATAAAATGCTTTTTCTAAATTTTTTTCCGTTCCTTCTCCATTTTCATAACATAAGGCTAAATTATTCATTGCTTCAACATGGTCTTTCTCTGCTGCTTTTTGATACCAATGAAAGGCTTTTTCTAAATTCTTTTCTGTTCCTACTCCATATCTATAACATCCGGATAAATTAAATATTGCTGCAACATGGTCTTTTTCTGCTGCTTTTTGATACCAATGAAAGGCTTTTTCTAAATTTTTTTTTGTTCCTTCTCCATTTTCATAACATTTGGCTAAATTATACATTGCTTCTTTATCACCATTTTCTACTAATTGTTCCAAAGAATTAATGCATTCTTTACACCATAATTTTTCAGTAAAGGGTATATTGCAATAAGAACAATTTTTGGTGTTTGTTGTATTAGTATCTTTATCTAATTCACTAAATTCAGTTGCCATATTGACCAAAAAAATTTTTTTTTAATAATTCCTAATAAATAAACTACTAAAAAGGGATATTTTAATAAAAGTAGAAGTTGCAATAAAAAAAATATTTTTTCGGGCTATATTTTTTACGATACACTGATTGGATGATGTGGGAACGAATCGTATGTTAAAAGGTGATTTTATTGTTATGATTAGTGGTTTGGGTGAAACTAGTTTGCCTAAGTGGTCTATAAAACGTTTCCAAATTTAGGTTTCTGGATAGCTAGTTTTGGTTTATATTTGGCGAAACTTTGGTGAAACGCTTAGATTTTCAAAGTCGAAACAATAATTATTAGTAAACACGTTGACCCAATCCAATGCAAAAATAGGTAACAAGAAATCGGCACTCAGGTACTATCCAAAAAAAGGTAAGATCTACACATTATTTTGGTTCATTTACCACATACCCTTCTCATATTTTTTTTTTTGTTTTACTTTTTAGGTTAACATGTGATTTGTATGTTTTTTTTTAGTTTAGCTTAGCGTAAAATTTAGTTAAACATAAATTTAGGTTAGTGGTTGATTTTTGTTAGCTAGTTTTTTTTAGATGGGAAATACGGTTTATTGTATTGATATAATTATCTCATGGTTACGATGTTATACAAATTGGTGATATTGCCTAAAAAGTAATTAGTCAAATATTGTATTGCATCACTATTTAAAAATCAGTGTAACATTTAAAATTAGGTTCGCCAAAAATTTTTTAGGTAAAAATTTTTTTCTTTAGCGATGCTGCATACGTCTTTCTAATTTGATCAAAAAATATTTCCTTACTAGTAGAAATTGCATTTATCGTTCCTACATTAGAGGTCTGCGTTAACCACTATTGGACTATTATTATATCATTTTGTTGTAAAAACAAAAAATCGGCCAACTTAATTTTGGCCAGTTTAATTTCGGCCAGAATTAAGACGATTTTGACCAGAATTACGAAATCCGGGTTTAACGAAAATCATGTGCCGGTCCGGACCCGGCCCGGGTTAATTTTGAAGAAATTTTGCTGGCCCAAACCCGGTTCCGGGTCCGGGCCGGGTTAGGTTTCCGGGTTCCGGGTCCCGTTGACCTACATTATTCAATTACAAGTGTAACAATCACAAATTTAATATATTTTTTTGTTTTTTTTTTGTTTATACAAATTATTTACCAGCATAATAATTATTGTAAATTCCATAATCCCGTTATTACTCACAAATAACATAAATAGTATTGAAAAAATAAATTTTTTTATAATATATAAACATCATATATAATTTATGGTATATAAAGGGTTGAATGTATAAGTATCTATTTTTTTAAAAAATAAAGAGAAATCAGTAATTAATTGAAATAACTCTTTGAATTTCTTAATTACGCATATCCGCCGATCTGCGGAATTAACAAAATTCGTCTAAATTAAGGAATTTGACAATAATTTAATAAAAATTAGGTAAATTAAGTTTTGCAAAAATGATCACACTTGTGCTACATGATCATATGACAGATATTAAGAAATTACTTCAACAAAAAGTAGCGTTAAAAAAAATTTTTTTCTTTCGTAAACTCCCTATTAAACTCCCCATCAACTCCCCATCAACTTTTCAAACAGTTTTTACATCAAGTAAGTTGAGAATTTTTGCAAGTATATTTGTAATTATTTTATATTAGATACAACTTGGAGC